AAAGTAGGTGAGACGAAGTCTGATCATTCTTACTTCCAAGAAACATTCCAGCTGCACTTCTTCAGGACAATATGTTTGTTCTTCTGGCAGTCCGTGGTATTTTCAGCATACTTCACCAACACCATAATTCAAAGGCATCTACTCTTCTTTGGTCTTCCATATTCATTGTCCAGGTTTCACATGCATATGAGGTGATTGAAAATACCATGGCATGGGTCAGGGCCACCTTAGTGTTCAAGGTGACATCTTTGCTCTTCAACACTTTAAGCAGTCTTTAAAAATTTGCCCAGTGCAATACTATATCTGATATTTTGACTGCTGCTCCCATGCGTGTTGATAGTGGACCTAAGTAAAACAAAATCTTTGACAATTCCAATCTTTTCCCAAGTTATCATGATGCTGCTTATTGGTTTAGTTGTGAGGATTTTCATTTTCTTTATGTTGAGGTGTAATCCATACTGAAGACTATAGTCTTTGATCTTCATCAGTAAGAGGTTCAAGTCATCTTCAGTTTCAGCAAGGAAGGTTGTGTCATATGCATATCATAGATTGTTAATGAGTCTTCCTCCAATCCTGATGCTGCATTCTTTTTCATATAGTGAAGTTTCTCAGATTATTTGCTCAGCGTATGGACTGAATAATATGGTGAAATGATATAACCCTGACTCACACCCTTCCTCTTTTTAAACCATGCAGTACCTCCTTGTTCTGTTTGAATGATAGCTTCATGGCCTATGTTGTTGCTGTTGTTGTTGTTAGGTGCCATCGAGTTGGCTCTGACTCCTAGCAATCCTGTGTACAACAGAATCAAAAATAGTGATAGGAAAAAGTGGTTTATAAACTTTTATTTATGAGAAAAAAGAAAAGAAACTTAGTTAAATTGGAAATAATCAGTATGAAATATTTTGAAAAATATAGCTAATGTTTCTTCTTTCAGTGGAATGGTATATAAAACAATTTATTGTGCACTGCTAGTAGAAGCTCTGGTAGTGTAGTGCCTAAGGCACTTGACTGCTAACCAGAAGGCTGGTGGTTCAAACCCACCAGCCACTCCTCAGAAGGAAGATTGGGCAATCTATTTCCGTAGTGATAGCGCTTCAGAAACCCAAGGAGTGGTCGACTATGAATCCGGGCCGACTCCACGGCACATAACAACAACAACAGTGAACCTGAGTCAGAGCAAAGCCATTTCACTTATAAATAATTTAGAGCACCTGGCCAACTGACTGGAAGAGATCTATATTTGTGCCCATTCCAAAGAAAGGTGATCCAACAGAATGAGGAAATTATCAAACAATATCATTAATATCACACACAAGTAAAATTTTGCTGAAAATAATTCATAAACAATTGCAGCAGTATATGAAAGGGAACTTACAGAAATGTAAGCTGGATTCAGAGGACCTAAACTGCAGAATATCATTGCTGATGTCAGATGGATCTTGGGTGAAAGCAAAGAACACCAGAAAGATGTTTACTTGTGTTTTATTGGCTATGCAAAAGCATGTGATGGTATGGATCATAACAAATTGTGGATAACATTGAGAAGAATGAGAATTCCAGAACACTAAATTGTGCTCATGAGGAACCTGTATGTGGACCAGGAGGCTGTTGTTCAAACAGAACAAGGGGATACCGCATAACTTAAAATCAGGAAGGGAGTGTGTCAGGGTTGTATCCTTTCACCATACTTATTCAATGTGCATACTGAGCAAATCCAAGAGCTGGACTATATGAAGAAGAACACAGCATCAGGATTTGAGGAAGACTAATTAACAACCTGCGATATCCAGATGACACAATCTTGCTTGCTGAAAGTGAAGATGACATGAAGCACTTACTGATGAAGATTAAAAGTACAGTCTGCAGTATGGATTACACCTGAACATAAACAAAATGAAAATCTTCACAACTGGACCAATAAGCAGCATCACAATAAATGGAGAAAAAGATTGTAGTTGTCAATGATTTCATATTGCTTGTTTCCACAAACAACACCAATGGAAACAGCAGTCAAGAAATCAGACAACACGCTGCATTGGGCAAATCTGTGGCCAAAGACCTCTTTAAAGTGTTGAAGAGAAAAGATGTCTCTTTGAAGACCAAGCCGTAGTGTTTTCAATCACCTCATATACATGTGAAATCTGAAAAAAGAATAAGGAAGGCAGAAGAAGATTTGATGCTTTCGAGTTATGGTATTCATGAAGAATACTGAAGGTACCATGGACTGCCAGAAGAATGAACAAATCCGCCCTGGATGATGTGCGGTTGCAATGCTCCTCGGAAGTGAGAATGGCCAGACTTCCTCTCACCTAGTTTGGCCATGTTGTCCGAAGGGACCATTCCCTGGAGGACATCATGCTTGTTAAAGTGGAAGGTCAGCCAAAATGGGAAGGCTCTCAATGAGATGGATTGACACAGTGGCTGCAATGATGGGCTCAGGTATAGCAAGGATTGTGAGGCTAGTGCAGGAACAGGTAGTGTTTCGTTCTCTTGTACATAAGGTTGCTATGAGTTGGAGCCAACTTGATGGCACCTAACAACAAAAACAACATATATATGTGTGTGTGTGTGTGTGTGTGTATATATA